TGTTACTCTTCGATACATCTTCCTTAAACAGAAGATACTGCCTCCCGTTGTCATCAGTATGAGGTCCTGTCATCTGAGGATCCCTAAAGTCTCAGGCGTCTGTGTTCCTCACCTCCGCGCAAAGAAAAGTGTAGCCCTGACGAAAGAATTAAATATAATAAAATATTTCTATGGTATGTGCAAAAGACATGGTACGGCATTGTCCCATGGATTTTCAACATTAGCAGACGAATCATAACATCTGTAACATTCTTGTGTGTAAAAACTGAAAATTTACTGTGAATATTTTAGTGACAACAAAGAAATATTCACATGTACCTGTGAAGTATAGAACCGTGTCCACAAGCTTCTGTGGAGTGTCATCACCAAATATGCCACTTTCCCACAGCATGTTTTCATCAGTCTCGGTGATTATTTCTGCCGACTTTCTGGAGGCTGCTCCCAAACCAGCCGCTGCTCGTTCCTTCATGACAGCGTCCAATGCTGCTCTGGCCTCTCTAAATTCGTCGCCTTCAAACAAATTGTATTTTGAATACTGAGCTTTCAAATACGATTGTAATGCCCCATACAAGCCATACAGGGTGTTGGATGGATAGTCGGTACGATCTTCTTTGCCGCTTCAAATAGAAAATACTTCAAAGTGATGTTCAGATCAGCAGCACTCATTTCGCTCAGTTCAGTTTTTAAACACTCACTTGGTATGTCCAAATTATCATCAATATTCCTACTTCGCCTTTCTTCTTGCCATCTCTTGAACACTGACAGAGCCCAGTCAATCTTATACTTCGTGTTTTGGGGAATTCGCTCTTCAATTTTATCTTTCAGCTCTTTCTCGTTCAAAGGTTCCTTGAAACGAAACAAAAAGTCATCGTCACTCTCTGCTTCATCACTCTTTTCAACGGTTTTGGACTGGGTTATGAACAGTTATCTGTCGCTGTCTGCCTCATCCATCGTGTCTCCGTAAAATTAATGTTCTAACAGCACACGTGATGCCGCGTAACGAAAATTCCGTGCAGCACGTGCGGCCGTGCGCGCTGTTTTAAAATTAGACCATGTCCCTCGATATACCAGCTGGGTACCACCCAGCGCGGTATAAACAATGCAGCGTTAGGACCGGCAGTACTTGGATAAAGGATACTGTTTTATTTGATCATTAAAATGTAATCTTTTCATTTGACGGTTCATATGATGGATAAAGTTCTCGTCCTCGGTCATGATTGGAAAAGTAAGGACCTCAGTGCGACCTCTTTTTCTTCGCACTGAGGTCCTTACTTTTCCAATCATGACCTCGGCCTCGTACTTTATCCAACACGTACTGTTTTCACATGTTCCAGCACATCGATGGCATGCAGCTGGAACATGGCATGACTTCGAACCATGGCCTTACTTTTGACAAGAGTAGCATCTCGAGGGATTTGGAATAAATGTATCAACCCTTAAGTTGCAGTAACCAGCTTTGAGTGAGTCTGGACGCATTGAAAGACAGAATGTAAATAGATACGTATTGGTTTGGGTGACTCCATTATTTTTCTTTGCTGTGAAACGTTTGATAGCAGTAATTCCTTGGGAGTGCAACTCTGTCACAATCTCAGTGTCTGACATATATTCATATATATACATATATTCTGATGCCTTTACTGCTATTTAATGTTCTGTGAGGAGAAACCTGAACAGGAACATTAGCTAGTGATTTGATCGATAAGAGGATTTGAGATTGAATGGGTTTTCTGCATTCAATTAGAAGAGAACCAGATCGTAGTTTTTACTTCCTTCACATCGCCAGCCAAACCTTCTATGCCCTTTGCTATGGCAAACGGATTGAGTTTTATTGGACCACCATCTGGAGCAGACATTACAAACAATCGAGACCAATACTCAGGATTTGTGAGACGTTTATGAGTATCCTCATCCCAAGAAGATAACGAATCATCAGATCCGTGTGAGCGTTTTTTGAGTGGGGGTGCCATAGTAGTATTAAATGTGATTCACCCTCCTAGCTCCCCACCCACCATGGAGTGTCAACGTGGACGATGCCAGACGTCTGTGGATTTCCAACAGACGGCACCAGAGATACCAGGAGGGTATATTCAAGCAGAAGTACTAATCAAAGATCAATAAATCCACCCGATTGGCCCATGAGCCACCGCCTTCTAGCTCTGGCTTCTAGGCAAATTTTGAATTTATCAAGTAGTGCAAAAATCAATATTCATGTATATTCAAACATTTCTGTCATAAATTCAAACAGATTCAAACAGTAATTCAATTACACATATACATATCGAAGCCGAATAGCGAGAGCATTGAGCAAAAAGTAAGGTGTTCAGGGCTTGGCGTGACCAGCCGATTGATAGAACCGGGTCCATTCTATCACCCGTCTAGGCGAAGTAAGGGTCGAAGTGGTGTATTGGGCAAAGGAACGCTATACCTGGAACCAGTGCCCTCAACCACCAGTCTCCCGTCCTCCGCCGGGGCGGTCGGGTAGCCTAGTGGTTTAAGCGTTCGTTCGTCACGCCGAAGACCCGGGTTCGATTCCCGACATGGGTACAATGTGTGAAGCCCATTTCAGGTGTCCCCCGCCGTGATATTCCTGGAATATTGCTAAAGCGGCGTAAAACCATACTCACTCACTCACTCACCCGTCCTCCGCCGACACAGGGGCGCAACCCACGGCAAACAGGTTGCCCAATTCTGTCACCTTTTACGACCAGCAATTGGGTGCTGTGCGTTGGGTGGGTGCGTTACCCAGCACTCACCACGAGGAGGTTTCTCTTCACGAGTGCCACGTTGAGCAAGTAACGTATATAGCGTAGTATAGAGCGAGTTTGTCCAAGGATATAGAATCACTATAGGTGACCTGATCCACGAACTGGCACAATCTAGAGTGAAATTATTTCAGGATCAAATCACTACCCTCTCGAGATCAAGAATATTCTATATTAACGCTGTAATATGTAAATTTACTTTGTTGATCCTCGTGGCATGGCGGCAACTTCCCTCTTGGTCTGCTCACGCCCAGTTTGGAAGGTGGCGGTCTGTGTGTTTTGGTGTTCACGCTTCCATGTTTTTGGCAGCCTGCTCTCAGATTTATGATGCTGTTTCTTAGGTTTTGGTTACGTTCCCATTGTTTCCTGTTCCCGATTCCCTGTGAATTGTAGACATACATGTATGAGAGTTATTTTGTTCCAATCTGTCTGTTTAGGCCTGTTGAAGGGTGCACTGGGACAGCCTGGTGTCTAAAGCGTCCGCTCGTCAAGACATGTAGCATCTCTCCTCTCAGTTTTGATATACATATATATATATATTAATTAGCCCTTCATTAAAATGTTATATTGCTGACACACACACACGCACACACACACACACACACACACACACACACACACACACACACACACACACACACACACACATATATATGTTTGTGTGTGTGTTTGTATTCATTATTCCGTTTCATACATGTAGGTAAATTTGATAAGGAGAGAGAGAGAGAGAGAGAGAGAGAGAGAGAGAGAGAGAGAGAGAGAGAGAGAGAGAGAAAGAGAGAGAGAGAGAGGGTGGAGGTGGGGGCTGGTAAAGTAATTAATTACAGGTTGTGTGGGGCGCTGCTTATCGCCAATACAGTATTCAGAGAGTGTTACGTGGAGTGATTTTAAGGGAGTGTTTTCAACCTGCAAAGGGGGATGGTTATAATCCTAATGGGAGTGGCCTGCTCCTCTCCTCCTATACCGGGTTCAATTCCCAACTTGAGTACAATGTGTGAAGCTCATTTATGGTGTGAATATTGCTAAGAGCGGCGTAAAACAATGCTCACTTATATTGACAAGCGACGTGTCATGTATAGTACATTCCTTTGAATGGCAACCATGAAATCTCTGAAATGACTTAACCTGACCTTTGATGGCGAAACTTTGATTGACTTTGATATTTGCGAAAACGTTCTTTAAAGTCATCGCAACGGAGAAAAAGACGACATAAGAGTCGATAAGTTGGTATTTGACGTTAATGACTTTGGTGTGCCGATGTGTGCTTATTTACTGAAGGCAAATAAAAAAAAACACACTAAAATGTAAACCTTTTACAAATATGCATTTCAAAATAGTTTGAAACATTATTCTAAAAGCATTGTGTGAAATTGCTATGGTAAAACAAACGCCAAAGAGCTCAGCCTGCAAACAACTAGACGTTCCATGTCCCCAAACTAACAAGGCTTCTTTCCGTGAAAGATAAGCATCATTTATGCCAATCAACTGATCCTCCTTAAAGTCTGTACATCGTAACAAAATACTACGAATTCTCTTTAAAACAATCATTCGGCTGATGAATACAAATGAATTTTAACAACTGTTCGCGATGAGTCCTCAAATGTTTTATTATGGGTGTTGTTCCAACTGACCTGCGAACATCCGGGTTAGACCAGGTCTTCAGCAACCCATGCTTGCCGTAAAAGGCGACTATGCCTGTCGTAAGAGGCGACTAACGGGATCGGGTGGTCAGGCTCGCTGACTTGGTTGATGAATGTCATCGTATCCCAATAGTGCGGATCGATGCTCATGATATCAATCACTGGATTTTCTGGTCCAGAATCAATCATTTACAGACCACCGTCATATAGCTGGAATATTTCTGAGTGCGGCGTTAAACAACAACCAAACAAACAAATCATGACCAAGTATACTAGTAGCTGAACGAGAGGCGACTTTATCTTTGATTTATGTTGTCACACCAGCAATCATCACATCACAATCGCACCGTTTGAAGTCCAAGGCAGTATTGAACCCCAGTGATTCTGTATAACTTCATCTTGTTAATAATCCATGAAGATTTATGAATTTTTGTTTCTTGGCGCAGTGTACGATATTAAGCAAACAATCGCTGCTCAACCATTCGAACACTGGTTTAACTTTCCTTAACTCGTACATGACCTAGTCGAGATAATGTTGACAGCGTCGTAAAGCAGCATTAACTTCACTTCATACCTCAAACTTTTGGTGTTGTATCAGTTTATATAAGACAGTCGACGCAGGAAGATGGACATTGAACAACAGGCTGTTGAAGGTAATGGTCTTTTTGGTATGAACACGGTGCGGGAGAGTACAGGGGATTCTACAAAGAAGGTGCCAACTAGCACGGAGACGGAAATTGGCAAGATGACAACACGGCACGCCAAAAGGATGATCTTCAGTGTCAGTGACGTTCCGCCCATCCCTGCTACTCTGACACTGGCCTTCCAGGTACGCTATTAATAAGTTATTGTTTGTTTGTTTGTTTGTTGTTTAACGCCGCACTCAGCAACATTCCAGCTATATGACGGCGGTCTATAAATTATCGAGCCTGGACCAGTCAATCCAGTGATTGCCATCATGAGCATCCATCTATACAATTGGGATACGATGCCGTGCATCAACGAAGTCAGTGAGCCTGACAACCGATCCCGCTAGTCGCCTCTAACGACAAGCATAGTCGCCTGTTACGGCAAGCATGGGTTGCTGAAGATTTATTCCACCCCGGACTTCACGGATATAATGTGTTATTGAATAATGAAAAAAACAGATTTTCAACGGATTCTAAAGTGCCAAAAACAGTTGAGATAGGATGGTATATCCAATTTAATGGAAGGTGTAATTCTTCTCGATTTTCCTATTTTCACATGCCGATTTAGGAAATACTAAAGACATAAAGAGTTACCATCTATTGCTCCCAATTGAGCCCGTGGATGTTCCGGGTAAAAATAGATCCCCAACAAGTTTCCCTGGGCGTAAAGGTGAGGTGAGGTGAAATGGGGTTTAACGTCGCGTCCAAGATTATTTCACTTATATAGCGACGTGCATGTATGTGTGTGTATTTTGTGTGGCTGCTTGAACTAGTCCGGACTGATGCCGATTTATAGTGCTAGCTCACTGAGATACTATGCCGCAGTTTAACATGAATACCCCACTCAGACACAGTATACTGACTCCGAGCCGACCATGCCAGTCCTTGTTTAAGCCCCTTAATGCCGAGCGCCAGACAGGGTAACAACAAGTACCATCTTTTAACGTCTTTTGGTATGACGCGGCCGGGGATCGAACCCCGGACCTTCCGCTCTCCGGGCGGACGCTCTACCATTAGACCACGGAGGCGGTCTCTGGGCGTAAAGAGGCGACAGGTGGTCAGGCTCGGTGACTCGATTGATTGTGTGTCATCGTACCTCAACGGCGTTGATCGTTGCTGACAATATCGATCACTGGATTGTCTTGTGCAGACTCGATTTTTACAGACCGCTGTCATACAGCTGGAACAGTGATGAGTGCGGCGTTAAAGAAAAAACAACAACAAATCAACATTTCACAGGGTAGGCTCTGTTCCCAACATCGCCCAAAATCTCTCACGCTTCTTGGTGTCATTTATTTCTAAGTACATAACAATCATTTCCAATTTGTGTCGCATGAATCCGTTGGTCATCTGTTGTGGGCCTCGTCGAGGGGAGTGTCCTGAGCCAAGGCAGAGATGACTCTAGAATGTCGAAGGGAATTTGAGCCTGCTCCAGCGATGTTGCAGACCCAACTCGATCCCAGCTCAAATCAATCTCGACTGACTTGGGCCTTGGCTGGGATCTCAACCATCGTAGTACGATAGAATTCACTACTTGTACTAGTTTCACTAGTTCACATCACATTTGTCACCACAATCAGTCGACAGTCGTGGCCTTTATATCAATGTTCCTTCATGACAAATTGAATACGTAATTTCTGTTAATCATAATCAATTTTTTATATGTTGCACGGACTATATACCGAGAGATCGGTTGATATAAGGTTTTCATTGACATCATGCCCTTTCACTCTTTCACTGATATTTAGCTAACGTAATATGATGAATGGACCCGAAAGCCAAATGTACACACAGATTATTCCCATACTTAATTGATAACCCGGAGATTCGAGGTCTCGTGGTAGAGCGTCCGCCCCGAGAGCGAAATGTCCGGGATTCGATCCCCGGTCGCGTCATACCAAAAGACGTTTCGGCTCGCAGTCAATATGCTGTCGGAGTCGGGTATTCATATTAAACTGTTGCATGCTGTTTGACTATTCAACTGATGTCCAAGGTAACATTTAACGTAATATGACGAATGGACCTGAAAGCCAAATGTACACAGGGACACATCCATTAGAGTACACTCGGATTATTCCCATATTTACTTAATAACCCGGAGACCCATGGTCTCGTGGTAGATCGTCCGCCCGGAGAACGAAAGATCGTGGGTTCGATCCCCGGTCGCGTTATACCTACAGACGTTAAAAGATGGTACTTGTTGCTACTCTGCCTGGCGCCCGACATTAAAACAATAAATGGTCGGCTCGGAGTCAGGATGCTGTGTCTGAGTGGGGTATCCATGTTAAATTGTGGCATGGTATCTTAGTGGGGTAGCACTATAAAATCGGCATTAGTCTGGACTAGTACAAGTAGACACACATACACACGCATGTCCTCCCTGCGTACTGTTGTCCACCATGCCTCTCTCTACAGCATGTTCTCCCTGCGTACTGTTGTACACCATGTCTTTCTCTACAGCATGTCCTCCCTGCGTACTGTTGTCCACCATGTCTCTCTCTACAGCATGTTCTCCCTGCGTACTGCTGTCCACCATGTCTCTCTCTACAGCATGTCCTCCCTGCGTATTGTTGTCCACCATGTCTCTCTCTACAGCATGTCCTCCCTGCGTACTGTTGTCCACCATGTCTCTCTCTACAGCATGTCCTCCCTGCGTACTGTTGTCCACCATGTCTCTCTCTACAGCATGTCCTCCCTGCGTACTGTTGTCCACCATGTCTCTCTCTACAGCATGTCCTCCCTGCGTACTGCTGTCCACCATGTCTCTCTCTACAGCATGTCCTCCCTGCGTACTGTTCTCCATCATGCCTCTCTCTACAGCATGTTCTCCCTGCGTACTGTTGTCCACCATGTCTTTCTCTACAGCATGTCCTCCCTGCGTACTGTTGTCAACCATGCCTCTCTCTACAGCATGTCCTCCCTGCGTACTGTTGTCCACCATGTCTCTCTCTACAGCATGTCCTCCCTGCGTACTGTTGTCCACCATGTCTCTCTCTACAGCATGTCCTCCCTGCGTACTGTTGTCCACCATGTCTCTCTCTACAGCATGTTCTCCCTGCGTACTGCTGTCCACCATGTCTCTCTCTACAGCATGTCCTCCCTGCGTACTGTTGTCCACCATGCCTCTCTCTACAGCATGTCCTCCCTGCGTACTGTTGTCCACCATGTCTCTCTCTACAGCATGTCCTCCCTGCGTACTGTTATCCAATATGTCTCTCTCTACATCATGTCCTCCCTGCGTACTGTTCTCCATCATGCCTCTCTCTACAGCATGTCCTCCCTGCGTACTGTTGTCCACCATGCCTCTCTGTACAGCATGTCCTCCCTGTGTAGTTGTCCACCATGTCTCTCTCTACAATATGTCCTCCCTGCGTACTGTTGACCACCATGCCTCTCTCTACAGCATGTCCTCCAGTCCATGGCAAGCCTCTTATCGGGAGCCATTATATTCTCGGACCTCGTCTGTGCCTCAGATCACGAGGACATCAAAACGAAGATTCTCTCCACGACCATGTTATCGACAGGGCTGGCTACATTCTTCGTGACGACAGTTGGTTGCAGGTGCTGCTAATTCGTAGACGGAGTAGCGTGGGTGTGAGTGTGAGTGAGTGAGTGAGTGAGTGAGTGAGTTTGGGCTGACGCCACTTTGAACAATACTCCAGTTATATCACGGTGTGTCAGAGTTGTGTCTGTTAAATTTAATATTTCGCTGTTGCAAGCATTAAGGGAATAATGTGATGAAACGTCATTTGCAAAGGGTTTGAGTGAGTTGGGCCTAACACCGCTTCTTTAAACAGTATTCCAGTTATATCACGGCGTGTCAGCTTAATGTGGGAGGAATGCCCCAAGTGATGCAGGTCTGGCGTTTACCACTTTGGTGAAACCCACGAGCACGGGTTTGGTGCTGACAAACATAGAAACATAATCGGGGCGAATATGGATTCGAACCCACGATCGTAGGTTTCTGGCGTGCCCAAGGGACGCAACCCTTCACAGCAAAGTGCGGCGCATGAAACGGCTGGGCCACCCGTGCACCCGAGTAGCGACAGACCCTGCCTTTAATCATTACAAGTCTATGAGTAACTCATCTTTTACAGCATAGGTGTCGAAACAGGTTTAACTTAACGACCTCTGGAATCATATGAGTGTATTTTCTTTGGTTTGAACATATAGAATCTCATCCGAGTCTTTTGATATCAAATAGATAAATCGGCACGAGTCGATTAAGTAACAAAGCTCCGAGGAAGAAATGATTTATTTATATTTTCATACGTTGACATCGTTAGTTTGCTCCAAGATGAAGGTGGTGGCGTACATCTAAGTGCGGCGTCAAACAACTATTTCACAATAATGGTCGAACTCTATACAATAGATATATGTTTTAGTGGTGTAGTTCAGACGACTAACCTATTTTTCTTTTGTGTATACAAAAAAGGTTACCAATATTTCAAGGCCCATCCTTTACGTATATCATACCTTTGGTCACCATGGCAACTATGTCTGAGTGGAAGTGCCCAAGTCAAGAAGATCTTAGTGAGTATATAATGCTTTACGTGTATTCCGCGTTTAGCCTGATGACATTCTATGAAAAAATAATAATCTCATTCCAGATGTACATGTATGTGATAGTTATTTAAGGATGTGCGTTGCTTTGTCTTTCTTTGCAACTTGTAGCTAACACATATGTGCGGGATATATCGACCAGTCTCTAATCTGTGAGACTGTGTGCGAGAAATTCTAAACCTTAAAATAAAGCGGCAAAACCATGCAGTGTCCATTCATACGATACTGAGCAAGTGTTTATTAATAACCATACGTCTTTGAAAAGCAAACTACAATTATACGACAACAAGGTGAATGCATTGTGTATCTTAAATGCCTACACTCCTGAGTTAATAGCCTTCCTTAGTTAGGTCACCTAATCTGCAGGGCAAAAGAAAGTATACACGTGAAAGATAGATTTGAACAAACAAAATTCGCCGCAAGCCATTCGCCCCTCAGTGTGTATCAATATTATGAGCAGAAACTGCTTCTTAACGATCAGGTATGTCTGTATTCAAGGGAGCATCTACGCCAATACATAACTGCTTCTTAACGATCAGGTATGTCTGTATTCAAGGAGGGAGCATCAACGCCAATACATAACTGCTTCTTAACGATCAGGTATGTCTGTATTCAAGGGAGCATCTACGCCAATACATAACTGCTTCTTAACGATCAGGTATGTCTGTATTCAAGGAGGGAGCATCAACGCCAATACATAACTGCTTCTTAACGATCAGGTATGTCTGTATTCAAGGGGGCATCTACGCCAATACATAACTGCTTCTTAACGATCAGGTATGTCTGTATTCAAGGAGGGAGCATCAACGCCAATACATAACTGCTTCTTAACGATCAGGTATGTCTGTATTCAAGGAGGGAGCATCAACGCCAATACATAACTGCTTCTTAACGATCAAGTATGTCTGTATTCAAGGGAGCATCTACGCCAATACATAACTGCTTCTTAACGATCAGGTATGTCTGTATTCAAGGAGGCATCAACGCCAATACATAACTGCTTCTTAACGATCAGGTATGTCTGTATTCAAGGAGGGAGCATCAACGCCAATACATAACTGCTTCTTAACGATCAAGTATGTCTGTATTCAAGGGAGCATCTACGCCAATACATAACTGCTTCTTAACGATCAGGTATGTCTGTATTCAAGGAGGCATCTACGCCAATACATAACTGCTTCTTAACGATCAGGTATGTATATATTCAAGGGGGCATCTACGCCAATACATAACTGCTTCTTAACGATCAGGTATGTCTGTATTCAAGGGAGCATCTACGCCAATACATAACTGCTTCTTAACGATCAAGTATGTCTGTATTCAAGGAGGGAGCATCAACGCCAATACATAACTGCTTCTTAACGATCAGGTATGTCTGTATTCAAGGGAGCATCTACGCCAATACATAACTGCTTCTTAACGATCAGGTATGTCTGTATTCAAGGAGGTAGCATCAACGCCAATACATAACTGCTTCTTAACGATCAGGTATGTCTGTATTCAAGGGAGCATCTACGCCAAGACATAACTGCTTCTTAACGATCAAGTATGTCTGTATTCAAGGGAGCATCTACGCCAATACATAACTGCTTCTTAACGATCAGGTATGTCTGTATTTAAGGAGGCATCTACGCCAATACATAACTGCTTCTTAACGATCAGGTATGTATATATTCAAGGGGGCATCTACGCCAATACATAACTGCTTCTTAACGATCAGGTATGTCTGTATATAAGGGATCATCTACGCCAAGACATACGTGCTTCTTAACGATCAGGTATGTCTGTAAACAAGTGGGCATCTACGCCAATACATAAGTGCTTCTTAACGATCAGGTATGTCTGTATTCAAGGGAGCCTCTACGCCAATACATAAGTGCTTCTTAACGATCAGGTATGTATATATACAAGGGGGCATCTACGCCAATACATAACTGCTTCTTAACGATCAGGTAAGTATATATACAAGGGGGCATCTACGCCAATACATAACTGCTTCTTAACTATCAGGTATGTATATATTCAAGAGGTCATCTACGCCAATACATCACTGCTTCTTAACGATCAGGTATGTATATATTCAAGGGGGCATCTACGCCAATACATTACTGCTTCTTAACGATCAGGTATGTCTGTATTCAAGGAGGCATCTACGCCAATACATCACTGCTTCTTAACGATCAGGTATGTCTGTATTCAAGGAGGCATCTACGCCAATACATAACTGCTTCTTAACGATCAGGTATGTATATATTCAAGAGGTCATCTACGCCAATACATCACTGCTTCTTAACGATCAGGTATGTATATATTCAAGGGGTCATCTACGTCAATACATCACTGCTTCTTAACGATCAGGTATGTATATATTCAAGGGGGCATCTACGCCAATACATCACTGCTTCTTAACGATCAGGTATGTCTGTATTCAAGGGGGCATCTACGCCAATACATCACTGCTTCTTAACGATCAGGTATGTCTGTATTCAAGGGGGCATCTACGCCAATACATCAACGAACTACACTCTCAACCATCGCGGGATGATCCCTGTTCCTGATGACGTCATCCTGTCCCGAATACACACGGTAATTTCAATGAAACTTGTGTGGTAGACGGGTGTTACCTGTAAATATAAACATCAGAGTCAGAGAATAACTAGTCTTAATAATACTCTGATTTCTTTAGCGTAAAAGGCAAAATTACATATTTGGATCACTGAAAATCCGCAAAGCAGGACAGGCTTAATTAGCTTTTCCGCGAACACCGGGTGTCCTCAATCATTTTAGGTGATTTATTAATAGAATTTGTATCATTATTTTGCCTTTTACGCCAGTGAAAACTATATTAGCAAGCATTCGAGATTTTATTATTTCTTGCGTTGATGTTTTGAATTGATGGAAAGAAATCATTCAGGATAAAGCACCAGGTATATCAGGTTAATTCCTACAAATATACCAATCCGCGGGTCTGATCAAGGTAGTTAAAAGCAATACTTCCCCAAACCGGAAGTGACATGAATAAACCGGAAGTGCATATTGATCACTGCTGCAACTGGTTAATGGCATTGGTGAGTAGTTGAGCGAGAGTGAGTTCAACGCCGCTTTGAACTGTATTTCAGTTATACCATTACATGAAGTGATGCAGGTGTTAGACCATTTACCACTTTGCAGAAACCCACAAGTACGGTAAAATACTTACAAACCCAGTAACATAATCAGGGGAATCTGGGATTCGAACCCACGAACCCAGTTCTGGCAAGCCCGAGCCTGAGGGACACACGGCGAATTGTCGTAATGTATTGGTGCTGGGAAAATCAGTAATTGGGTTGCTATTGTGGTTCGAATTTACTACTTTTCTAGTTGCAATATGTTTCAGGTAATGGGCAGTCTGATGCTAGCTGAAGTTATTCACGCACTAATTGGAGCTACGGGATGTGCTGGTTTTCTGTTACGTTTCATAGGACCCGTGACAATCGTTCCCGCTATCTCACTGGCAGCGTTGTTTTTGTTTAAAGTGGCTCTGAAGTATTCACAAATGCATTGGGGAGTGGCATTTTTGTAAGTTATTTTGGTGATTTCAAATAAATTGCCAGTTATTATGTTATGGTGTCCTTTACTCGTGCCATTGCACCCTTACAATATATATATATTCAGGACAATGTTGTCTTATATACATATTGCTTGTGTTGTTGATACCTGTTGTGATAAACATTGTTGACGATTATGATGTGTGGTTATCCTATAAAGTAACTATGTTATATGCTATCTATTTATTGTTCCAGTGTTAATTTTCCATTTACGAATACCTGTTTTACTATAACCCGGTGGAGCAGGATACGCATATCTTCCCGAGATCACCTGGTATCATCGCTATGTGATAGTGATTTATGAACACATGGTCATGATATAGTCGGAATCGTACTCTGCTTTCAGCAGACATTGTTTTTTCGCTTTTTGTTTCACAGAACTATGGCGATTGGCGTTACACTGTCTCTCTACCTCAGACATGTGACGATCCCATGTCCGTTTTGGACTCCAAACCGAGGCTTCCATATTATTAGGTCCAAGTTCCATACTGTCTATGCTGTGAGTAAAACAAATGTTGAATTTAAAAAGCATGCGAGTCCATATTGTGTGAGGCACATTTTGTCCGTGTGAACAACATTATTATATAATTTTTTACTTTGGAGTTGACACGATATATGGCTTTTCAATTGGACGAGAGGTTGGTCACCTGACAGCGAAATTAACGTTCATAAGTGTATGAACGACACAATTTGACGTTCGTACGTTTTTCACGAGCCCGTGTTCTTGAAATGACGTAAACACTGACGGACTACTTCCACATTCCTTGGGAAACCCCTGGGAATTCCCTAGCACGAATACATACAGAAGCGTTCTTGCTGATCATTTGGATCCTTTAATCTTGAACTCAGCGTTTCAGTATACATTGAGAAACGTCAGAGTGTTTGACTGCACGGCCGTTCACGAATATCCTCGCTACGACACATCTTAGTGAAAAAAAACCCCGAAGAAATGCACATCCAAACTATCGTAGTATCTACTCGATCCGTGTCTGGGCTGACAGTAACAGTCTACAGCAATCTATGACTTCACCTTAGTGTCTATTTGACACATCTTCAATATCACCGTTCAATGATCGTCCAGTTCATCAATGATGACTAAAACATTCAATCTCCGACGTTCATTCAGTTTGGCCCTCATTCTATGAAGGTTCATACTACAATGAACCCAAACAAAGTGAAAGTCAATTCTTATTTGTACACTACACGAAAAAAAGGCGTTGTCTCTATGTAAATAGGTGTATCCTGGTTTAAGTAGAATTCAACTAGGCCTCACACCTAGACAATTTAACATCTCTTAATAGTTATGAACGACGTAGTCCATGTTCGCAAACACCTGGTGTTATCCCTATTTGACAGAGATTCATAAACACATGCTAATTATATAGTCGGAATTGTACAACGGCCTCTGTTTTTATCAGAGGTTTCTTATGAATATGGAAAGAATTTGTCTCTTTTATTTATTTGAGATTTTATTGGACAGTACAGGTATCTCCTTTCGTAGGTCCTTATATCCATCTTAATTGGATGGGGTACATCAGCCATCTTGACCTTGAGTGGTGCTTTGTCCTCGGAACCTGAAAGTCCCCAGTACTACGCCCGCACAGACTCACGGACATACGTCATCAGAGACAGTGGATGGTTTTATGTTCCTTATCCTGGTGAGTTCAGAACGATTCATTCCGATTATGAAAAAATGATCATTGGTCTGTAAGCGCCATGTCAGTCCTCGTGGGTTTGAAGTGGTAGCAATACAACAAGCGCCATGGCAGTCCTCGTGGGTTTCAACTAGTAGAAAACGACTAGCGCCATTTCACGCCTCGTTGGTTTCAACTAGTAACAAAACGACCAGCGCCATGTCACGCCTCGTTGGTTTCAACTAGTAACAAAACGACCAGCGCCATGTCACGCCTCGTTGGTTTCAACTAGTAACAAAACGACCAGCGCCATGTCACGCCTCGTTGGTTTCAACTAGTAACAAAACGACTAGCGCCATGTCACGCCTCGTTGGTTTCAACTAGTAACAAAACGACTAGCGCAATGTCACGCCTCGTTGGTTTCAACTAGTAACAAAACGACTAGCGCCATGTCACGCCTCGTTGGTTTCAACTAGTAACAAAACGACCAGCGCCATGTCACGCCTCGTTGGTTTCAACTAGTAACAAAACGACCAGCGCCATGTCACGCCTCGTTGGTTTCAACTAGTAACAAAACGACCAGCGCCATGTCACGCCTCGTTGGTTTCAACTAGTAACAAAACGACTAGCGCCATGTCACGCCTCGTTGGTTTCAGGTGGTAGCAATACCACCACCAGCATGTTAAGCTCTCATCCGAAATTTTTAGTCATATAATTAATATGTTCAAAGCTTTGTGTAACCAACTTCATTCAGTACTGAAAGTTAAAAATGAAAAAGTATCATATGTGGCACATCGGAAAAATATCACCATCCTGCACAAACCAGTAGTGAAGGAATTTTAATAGTATGTAGTTCATGGCTGGAATGAGTGAGTGAATAATAGTTCAGGCAAAATAAGGTTTCACGAGGAACAAATTGCAACAGAATTTATTTCCCACAATGCATTTGTACAAAGTCCCAAGAACAACATACCAAAACGTCCCAAGCAATCCAAGTTTAAGAAATAATTTCCATAATCCAATATGGCCACCAATTATCAGTATACATGTATCTTCCATGTTTCAGATGAGGTTCAATTTTTTAATGATGTGTTGCGAAATCGCAATATTGTGTTTCTAAACAGATATTCACAATTACTGAATGTTTTCGACTTTTGATAAATCTACAAAAAAAATCAGTCTAAGCAATCAACGTTGCTGCTGGGCAGTGATGTATGTGAGCATGTGCTCTTTTTACATACAATTCTTGGCTGTGACAGCACTCCTCGACTGTTTGGCTTGGGAAAGGGTCTACGATTGAAGAATATTGCCTTGTTCTGTGATCAGGCTAAAAGTTTCAGCCAAACGGAAGAAAATGGAGATAAAAAAAAGTCACCAAAGGACTGGATAGCTTATGATACAAGCAATTTTTGGGGAAGGTGACGAAGATCCTATCACACGTAGAGCCATCATCCTCTGCAGCCGCAAGATACCACCGACCACGTGTCTACTACCAGATAATGGAGTGGAAAGGGTTCAGTATGGAACCACTTGAGCGGGGATGGCGTATGATAGATGGGTGGTGCGTACCAATACATTCAGGTCAGCCTGCAGCACCTTTAGCACTCCAGGACATCATCTGCTGTAATTTCAAAATCGACTGTAACACACGATTGGTTGGTTTGGTTGGTTTGTTGTTTAACGCCGCAATCAGCAATATCCCAGCTATATGACGGCGGTCTGTAAATAATCGAGTCTGGACCAGACAATCCAGTGATTAATATCATGAGAATCGATCCACACAATTTGGATCGATGACATGCATCAACCCAGTCAGCGAGCCTGACCACCCGATCCCGTTAGTCGCCTTTTTACGACAAGCATAGTCACCTTTTACGGCAAGAATGGGTTGCTGAAGACCTATTTTACCTCGGAATCTTCACGGGTAACACATGAAGATGCGCTTGCCGGAAATATGGTCTCACTTGTAGTGCTGTGTGCGGGGAATGTCATTGTACAAGCTGTACCAATATAATCAACATAATGAGCCTGCAACAACATTCACTTTGACAATTTGCCCGTGAAGATCTCGGGTAGAATAGTTCTTCATTAACCCGTGCTTGCCGTTAACGGCGACTTACGGGATCGGGTGGCCAAGCTCGCCGAATTGGTTGGTGCATGTCATTGTATGCCAATTGCATGGATCGATGTTCATGATGTCAATCACTAGATTGTCTGGTTCAGACTCGATTATTTACAGACCGCCGACATATAGCTGAAATAGTGCGGCTTTAAACAACAAATAAACGAACAATCAAATAATGGTATTTGATCGGTATATTGGATTTCCGCAAATGAATACAAGGGAGGCAGCTCATCGACAACTTGTGAAACAGCTGGTTTGGATTAATTCTGAAAGGACCTCATTTTGACATAGATTTTTCCAACTGGTATTTATATGAATGAAAACAAGTATTTTATTAGTGTTTATTCGTGTATATTGTCATGGTATTAAGTAAATACAGACAATAACAATCAACATAGATATTAAAGTTCGCCAAAACATGTCTTTTACGAGATAAATATTAATATTTGGTGGTTATATTGGATTTATGCAAATGAGTGAGTATTCTACATACATCCTGGGGTCTGTTTACCAATGTAGAAGTTCAAATTACTCAAATATGTTATCAGAGACCAACAGTGTATTGATATTTCATGTCTATCCAGCAATCTCTTGAATGAAAACAAAACTTGTTACAGTGTTTATTGTCATGGTTGGTAATAAGTAGATACAGACAATAACAATCAATATTGATAGTTAAACTCGCCAAAACATATCATTTACGAGATAAATATTGATATATTGTGGTAATACTGGATTTATTCAAATGATTGTATATTCTTCATGCATCCTCGGGTCTCTTTACCCCAATGTAGAAATATGTCATCAGAGACCAACAGTGTATTGATATTTCATGTCTAACCAGCAATCTCTTGGCGGTCATCATGGAATTTTTGGCCACTAGGGGCAATAGTGACGGAGTTTCTTATCTAAACGTGTAAACTATACTTCAGTTAGTGTTAGTAATATATATGCATAAAAGTCCTATCACAATGTTTTAGAGTTAAAAGATTCCACAGTCTAAACTCATATTAAGGAAACGTGTCGCCATCTTGAAATTTGCGGCTACCTTGATCTTATTTTAGATTTATCAAAAGTCGAAAACGTTCAGTGATTGTGAATATCTTTTTAGAAACACAATATGGCTATTTCACAACACAACAAATGCCTTTTTTCATCAAAAGATGAACCTAATCTGAAACATGGAAGATATACTGATAATAAGCTACCATATTGGATTATGCAAATTAGACATATTACCTAATAGGATTGCTTGGGACTTTTGGAATGTTGTTCTTGGGACCTTGTTGATTTGTTTGTTGTTTAAGGCGCCGCACGCAGCAATATCCCAGTTATATCACGGTGTTCTGTAAATAATCGAGTCTGGACCAGACAATCCAGTGATTGACACGTAAAAATGCATTGTGGTGAAATAAATTTTATTGCAATTTGTTCAAAATTGAGTGAAAAAGTGGCCTAGATTGCCTGGACTGTAATGCAATATGACACCTATTCAGGGTTTATAATCTTTTGAGGATATATATAATGAACAAAAATCTTAGGGATCACGAATATTTTTAGGGATATTATTATGAAAATGTGTCTTCACTATAAAACAAATATCACCAAATATATTCAGGCTCCCTAGCATATTGTATAATTTACTTTCTTTGTTTATATGTTGTTTAACGCCGTACGCGTTATTACAGCTATCTGGCGGTTTGTAAATATTCGACAGCAACCCATACTTGCCGTAAAAGGCGACTATGCTTGTCGTAAAAGGCGACTAACGGGATCGGGTGGTCAGGCTCGCTGACTTGGTTGATACATGTCATCGATCCCAATTGCGTGGATCGATACTCATGTTGTCAATCACTGGATTGTCTGGAATATTGCTGAGTGCGGCGTTAAACAACAACAAAAAATAAAATAAATAAATAAATATATATTCGAGTTTGGACTAGACAATCCAGTGATTGACGTCTTGAGGATCGATCTACGCAATTGGAATGCAATGACATATATCAACCAGTTAGCTGCCTACTAGTATAATGACAAGTGTGGGTTGCTGAAGACCAGTCTTAACTCGGATCTTCTCGGATCCTGTCTACACTGGTCAAGCATCAACCTAAACTACCTTCTGTCGATAAAGTCCTCTCCAATTCCATCCGGGGAAGAATAGGTCTTCAGCAACCCACGCTTGCCGTAAAAGGCGACTATGCTTGTCGTAAAAGGCGACTAACGGGATCGGGTGGTCAGGCTCGCTGACTTGGTTGATGCATGTCATCGATCCCATTTGGGTAGATCGATGCTCATGATATTAATCACTGGATTGTCTGGTCCAGACTCGATTATTTACAGACCGCCGTCATATAGCTGGAATATTGCTGAGTGCGGCGTAAAACAACAAATCAACCAATCAACCAATTCCATCTTTATAACAAATAAACGTCACTGCAACGCCCAAGTGTCCCTGGTAGAGCATCCATCAATAACAAACACCAACGATGTCCAGTGGTTGTTTATGCATGATTTGTTTGCCGCCTGTAAAAAAACGAGAGTTATTTGTCAAGAAAGTCACTAAAAAGGTCAAATGTTTAATAAGTTAGAGGTATTCAAAAAATAAACATGAAACATATGTAAATATTTATTTATTAAATACATTGTTCTGTTAACATGTGTCATACCATATAACATGATGTCACATAAGTTATTTATTATTGTGACTTTTCAAATCTCATGACAGGTCAGTTTGGCATGTTCACATTCAACGCTGGTGTGTTTAGCAGCTTCTTAGTGTCTTCTCTCTTGTCAATCATTGACTCGATTGCTGACTACAGCGCATGCGCACGTATTTGTCACGTGCCTCCGCCTCCAGCACACGCAGTCAACAGGGGCGTGGCTGTAGAGGGCGTCATGAGCATCATCACGGGTGGACTGGGCATCGGTCATGCTACTTCATCATTTGGAAACAATATTGGTACTATTGGCTTGACCAAAGTAAGTTCTTATTGTGACTAGGAATGTATAATTTAGTTAGATCATAAACACGTCTTCATTTTCTTTGCAAAAACTAGTGACATTTAGGGACACTGCCAGACATGTGTAACATGGCATGAAGGACCAAGCAATACTACATTCACATAGTAAAAAACATAGGCGTGAAATAACCATGATTCTACACGATTTTCAAAATGAAAGCTATCAATTTACACCTTTTTTGTCTCAAAATCAGATCTACTGCTTCACAAAAAGCTGAGGCGACCCTATTTCAGGAAACTTCAGAACGACTGGCGACTTCCATCCCAGATTACGTTTTTGAAAAATAGGCCGAGATTGTATGGCAGTAATTCCAAGGGGCTATGATAGTCTCTTCCATTTCAAAATTTATACATTTGAAGTCACTTTTGCATAATTCCGACTGCCAATTTCCCGATCTGATCACCGACGTTCTGATTGGTCGGATGAAAGGTCGTCCTGTCGTAACCCGTAGTGGGATGTCCTCAGATCTTTGTTTGTCGGTAGCGAAAGTAACATCTGACTGAAATGCGATGGAGAAGAACCTGGGATCAAACAATGTACCCAATAGTTCCGTTTATTTAATAAATGTGAAAGACGATATCCAATCAAAACAGAGTTTAACTTTTTTGTTACAGAAGTAATTAATTTCAATGAAGAGTTACCAAGGGTGAAGAATGTATTTTAAGATATAAAATCAATTTAATAAAGCTGTGTTTTGACTTAACTAAATCAAATTCCATTCTTTTCAGGTTGCTAGTCGTCGTGTTATGCAGGTTGCTGGCGTTCTGTTCATCGTATTTTCCGTTCTCCCCAAGATCGGAGCAGTTTTCGTGACCGTTCCGTACCCAGTAGTGGGTGGGACAATGGTCGTGCTGGATGGTCTATTGGTGGGCGTGGCACTGTCAAATCTACAACCGGTGGACTTGTCCTCTACCAGGAACCTTGCTATTATTGGTATGTCTCTATTTGTTGGGTTGATGATGCCGTACTGGGCTGAGACAACCACGACTGGACTCAATACAGGTACTTCCCATACTGATCTACATTAAAATTATCTTCATTAAGAGAATTTATTAACAGAATGAAAACGGAGAGAAATCACATTTTTTTTATTTACATACAGGTATGTGAAAGATCCCTTTACCAATAACATGCAAACGACTTAATTCACGTTTTCATAAAATCATCAGTGTTATCTATAAATCTAATATATACTCGGTATATCACTCCAAACTTTAAAGTTTCGTTGTGTTCACTGCATTCCTGCATTCTGATTAGCTGAATTGGTCATTTGTTATTGCATTCATTTCCTAATGAATTAAAAAAATTAAGCCACGCCCAACGAAACGGACCCCACTCGCGTTTGCTTCACACAAAATGGTTGCGCCCGGTCACGACGATCTGATCGATAATCAATATCTATATTGTGATAAAACGGATTTTACATCGCGAAATGCATCAAATCACGTGAGCACCTTGATTAAAAACATGAGAAGATTTGGAAAAGATCTGCTGACAACGAGTTGGTGGTGCACATGCTTTGCAAATCCTGCAATCGACCGAAATCTGCACGACAGTTTACGAACCGGATTTCCTTTTCGGTGCGCGATTTTGATTGGACTATTCATAGACTCGTTAGTCCAGCCAAAATGTAACTCCATAATACCAGCCTAGTTCGGCAAGGGTGGTCACTAGACTTTTATAGTCAGTTAACTCTCTTGCCTCGGGAAGATGAGGGACATATGTCTTAAACTTCCATTATTTTAAGATAAAGACATTTTACCCCCCCACCCCCCCCCCCCCCCCACCCCCCCCCCCCCCCCCCCCCCCCATGTGTTTTTGTATCCCCAACTAAGATAATAAAACACACACAGTGAATAATCGCTATTACTGAAGTCTTTGATAAGAATTTGGGAGAAATGACTGTTAACTTTGTACATTAATCCTATGTCTATGTCATTGCCTTTGTCATTATGTTATTATCTTTGTACTTTCATCCCGCCGTGTGTTGTGTAAACATCATGATATAGATATAGTACTCTATTCACTTATTAAGCATTCTCCTGATGAAGGAGCAGGAATTAGCTCTGAATCGTACAAAGAAAAAAACAAGTTGCTATGCATGAAGAAAGTTTGTTTGTTTGTTGTTTAACGCCGCACTCAGCAATATTCCAGATATATGACGGCGGTCTTAGAATAATCGAGTCTGTAACAGACAATCCAGTGATTGACATCATGAGCATCGATTCCTGCAACCATAAAGAAAGTTTAATGTATTCAATCTCTATTACTGCCTGGTCTTTATCTCTTAGGCAATACAAAAGCTGATTCACTACTGAAGGTCCTTGTGTCAAATCCAATGTTCATTGGCGGGGGTCTGGCATGCATTCTGGACAATACAGTTCGTGGTATGTCTCACCTTTTCCATATCAATAATTTAGGCAATCTGCCTGTCACAATTTTTTCTCTCCTTTTTTTCGATCCAAGTCAGCGAGTCTGACCACCCGATCCCGTTAGTCGCCTCTTACGACAAGTATGGTCGCCTTTAACGGCAAGCAAATTCTCTTCCTATCTGATCATGTTTAGCTGATGAATTATGCTGTGTAAAACTGACAATCGTCACATGTGGATAGAATGTCGTCAATCAATAATATTATCCAAACAACGTGAAATATGTGAATGGACATAAAGGAAATAATTTGTCCATTTTTGATAATTTGAATATTTTCATTAGTCGCGCATGGTCTTGGTCCAGAAATGGTGTTCACGTTTGTAAGATTGTAAATTATTTGTAGCTTATACAATTGTCACAACAGGCACACGAAAGGAACGAGGTTTGGATTGGTGGGAGGAAGACACGGCCCACCATCCGGGTCACGAGACGTCAACAGAGTACCCGTATGAGGAAGGAAGTGATGTGTACGAGCCATTGTTCATCCCAGAAAGCTGGAAGCGATCAAAGTGGACCCGTTTTTTCCCTGTCATACCAAATTACCATTAACAAGGTGTAACCGAAATCTACATTTCATTTCCAACATGAAATGTGTTGATGATGCAATTCGGAAGCGCTATCTCATATTAAGAGACCAATATATTAATCAGTGTGTGAGTATAGATTGGAATATGTTTACTATAGAACATCACCAAAACGTTATTTTAGTCAGTAGTTATAGTTGCCTCAAAGGCATGACTCCCTTAAGCCTGATGTTTTATTTTTCATTTATTTATTTTTCATACGACAATGCAACGACACATACAAGAGTCTATAGCGTCGTTAACTGCATTGTAACAGTCATGGCTGTTGCTAAACAGATCAACATGATCTGCCACATGGGTCAGCTGTAACGCGTCGCTGACTTCAAGCTATCAAGGTGTACAGGCAAATATCAATTAAAAAGTTATTATGTTAAGTAGAAGGGGATACTTCAAAAGGAGGAACTTGAAATTAAATGATTAAAAAAGGATGAATGTACTGGGTATGGGGAGTGAAGCTTAACATCTGTGGGTGTGTATGTTGTATGAAGATATGATTGCTTGGCTAAATCACTATATTACAGTATGAATTCTATTGTCTACTGAGTTAATATTATGTATAAGTCTTGAAAACATATCATGCATCTGGACCTTGTAGTTTTGAAAGTCAACAACTAACAACATATTTTGCAGTTCCACAGAGTTCATCTGAAAGCTACTGTCCTCCTTATTTTTCATCTGACATTATTGAGACCGTGTCAAACAATAGTATTGAGCCTCTTCTCTGACTGGGTTGGATGTCCTCGTGGAGTTGGTCGTGCATTTGAATTAAGCATACTGATCATACATGGAGATAATGCCATGTGCTGGGGTGTTATCGTAAAAAAAGAAATTGTCCCAGAAAATTATTGAAAAAGATAAAAATGCTTAAAATATGAAATTGCCTACCTAAAAACCTTTATTGTAGCAAGTTCCTTTTCTTTAATCAAATTCAATATCATAGTTGTAAATACAAAAAAAAATTGATTTTTTAGTTGTAACTGAAAAATATCTAATCTTGATACAAAACAGCTATTGGAACCATCCTGAAAAAGGTAAGTCTCGTCATCAATCTGTTAGATGACCACCCACCCCTCTTTCCTGCAAGTAATAAACTTCCTGCTGAACGGGAGGCTCTTCCCATACTGGTTGTCCAAACTTAGGTCCAAAGTCCTCAGTTCCCACATCATACATTTTCGTCTGTATTTCTTAAGAATGTTTAAGGCTAAAGCATGCAGATTCAGAAGGCATATTCCAACCATATGAGTTTCTTTAAATATTCTTCATGTTTCTGAGCATTTTCATTTGGGTTTCTGGGAATCAATTGTTTGATAGGCATTACTTAGAAGTTGACGGATGACAAAGTAGAGACAATTTATAGAAAACAACTTCTTCATTTACCTAAAGGAGTAGTTTATAAAAAAATTGACTGCAACTGTTGGCAATCCTACGAAGGTGAAACATCCCGCCCCATCAACACCAGAATCAAAACGTCAACAATCAAATCAGAAGTAAATCAGCAACTGCACCAATCACAACATCAACTGGGAAAACGTCCAGACCCTCTCAAACAACCACCATGGCTTCACCAGCAGAAGCAGTCCACATTCTCCGCCACAAGCCATCAATCAACAGAGATGAAAGCTGTTTCATTCCATCTGCCTACTATGAACTCATTAAGCAATAATCACCCCACCAATGTACACTGAATCCTGTTTAATTAGATTCGTCCTATTGGCTTCGTCATCTTGTATTGTCTGTACATCATGTTGTAACAGTATTATCCTTCTGTTGTCATTGTTTAACCTTCTCACTTTGATGTATGCAATTGTTGTTACTGTTAATCCTCCACCTACTGTATATGTTCTGTACCATTTTCATTATGCAGGCTTCTTTAATCCCTCTAATTTACATTTTTTTGGGCCAGCCGATTACTTATGTATTACCCACTATTGTTTATTATTGTTTAACCCGTCTGGCCCCGACTGCGAAATAGCCAACGGCTGAAGCGGTCGTAAAATCTATAATAATACTTATGCAGCCTTGCTTGACAACGGTACAAGGATCTTTACCAAAACGTCACCTTCACAGTAAATAAAGAAGTTGGTATCTATGAATTGTCTCTTCTTTGTTTCCGGTAATTAGTTGGATCAGTGACCGCACTCCCCTACCCAGTGTAAGTTCATTTGGCGTAAAACCAGTAGACTCATGCCTAGCAGATCTGCCTTGACATGGGGAAGGTGCTTGTCCCATGATTTTGGTTTTCCCATCTGCATATAAACACGGGATCGGGTGGTCAGGCTCGCTGACTTGGTTGATGCATGTCATCGATCCCAATTGCGTGGATCGATGCTCATGATATTAATCAATGGATTGTCTGGTCCAGACTCGATTATTTACAGACCGCCGTCATATAGCTGGAATATTGCTGAGCGTGGCGTAAAACAACAAACTAACCAAACCAAAAAAATCTTGAATGTGCCGTTTCATTGTCGTATGAAAAATAAATAAATGAAAAATAAAACTATAACTACTGACTAAAATAACGTTTTATTGATGTTCTTTAGTAAACATATTCCAATCTCTACTCACACACTGTTTAATATATTGGTTTCTAAATATGAGATAGCGCTTCCGAATTCCATCATCAACAGATTTCATGTTGGAAATGAAATGAAGATTTCGGTTACACCTTGTTAATGGTAATTTGGTATGACAGGGAAAAAACGGGTCCACTTTGATCGCTTCCAGCTTTCTGGGATGAACAATGGCTCGTACACATCACTTCCTTCCTCATACGGGTACTCTGTTGACGTCTCGTGACCCGGATGGTGGGCCGTGTCTTCCTCCCACCAATCCAAACCTCGTTCCTTTCGTGTGCCTGTTGTGACAATTGTATAAGCTACAAATAATTTACAATCTAACAAACATGAACACCATTTGTGGACCAGGACCATGCGCGACTAATGAAAATATCAACACAAATTTCAAAAATGGACAAATAATTTCCTTTATGTCCATTCACATATTTCACGTTGTTTGGATAAGATTATTGATTGACGACATTCTATCCACATGTGACGATTGTCAGTTTTACACAGCATAATTCATCAGCTAAACATGATCAGATAGGAAGAGAATTTATGGATGTCAATCTTTATTATGAGGAACACAACGATTCGGAGTATGTACTTACTCCTTCATCAGGTGAATTGAGACAGGCGACCTGTTACGATCCGGGTTAGAATAGGTCTTCAGTAACCAATGCTTGCCGTAAAAGGCGACTATACTATACTATACTGACTTGGTTGATACATGTCATCGATCCCAATTCCATGGATCGATGCTCATGTTGTCAATTACTGGATTGTCTGGTCCAGACTCGATTATTTACAGACATATAGCTGGAATATTGCTGAGTGCGGCGTTGCCTGGATTATTGATATGGAAAAGGTGAGACATACCACGAACTGTATTGTCCAGAATGCATGCCAGACCCCCGCCAATGAACATTGGATTTGACACAAGGACCTTCAGCAGTGAATCAGCTTTTGTATTGCCTAAGAGATAAAGACCAGGCAGTAAGAGATTGAATACATTACACTTTCTTTATGGTTGCGTTGATCGATGCTCATGATGTCAATCACTGGATTGTCTGTTACAGACTCGATTATTTACAGACCGCCGTCATATAGCTGGAATATTGCTGAGAACGGCGTTAAACAACAAACAAACTTTCTTCATGCTTTGTTTTATTCTTTGTACGATTCAGAGCTAATTCCTGCTCCTTCATCAGGAGAATGCTTAGTAAGTGAATAGAGTACTATATCCATATCATGATGTTACACAACACACGGCGGGATGAAAGTACAAAGATAACAACATAATGACAAAGGCAATGACATAGACATAGGATTAATGTACAAAGTTAACAGTCATTTCTCCCAACTTCTTATCAAAGACTTCAGTAATAGAGATTATTCACACCGTGTGTTTTCATATTGTAGTTGGGATACGAAAACACATGGGGATAAAATGTCTAAGCTTAAGACATATGTCCCTTCACTAAAATAACTTTAGAAACCTCGTAAGAATACAATGTTTGAGTGAACCGCCCGCTGATATATAGTGCCAATGGATGTGTATTTAGGTTTGCTTTCATAAGTAGTCACACAGAGAGGCGTGACATGAACCAGATGATTGTTTAATTTATGCACATAACTTCACAAAGTCAGTAGCCAATCAACGGAGGATAGGATCAAATTTCCCAGAACCTGTCAATCAAGGCAAGAGGCGAGAAGAACTGCAACAGTCAGACTGTAACGAACTGGAACAAATTTGTCCAGGAGAAGGCGGCTGTTTCAAATGATATGGTCAGTTACCGACAGAATCAAAAATTAGTTCCCTGGGGACGGGAAGACACAGTTGTAAAAATGCGGGTGAGAAATGAAACCCAAAGACATGGAATTTGTGGAACCCAGGCCAGCAAAAACAAACCAGGCAAGCAAGCTTGTACGTTAGCTGTTTCATTCCTTATCGGCCCCCTGCCCTCAAAGGGTAGTTTGGACAATGAATATGCATGAATTTCACTAAATGTCCTGTTCATTACGATACACGTGAGCAGAAAGGTAATTCTCTCGACTGCAATATTGGAATTCCCGACATTCTGCAGTAATTATTTGGGTCTTTTTCGGTGGTTGTGGCTTAAATTATTTAATTCATATGGGAAATGAATGCAATAACAAATGACCAATTCAGCTAATCAGAATGCAACGAAAATTTAACATTTGGAGTGAGATACCGAGTATATATTAGATTTATAGATAACACTGTTGATTTTCTGATAATATGAATTAAATCGTTTGCATGTGATTGGTTAAGGGATCTTTCACATACCTGTATGTAAATCAAAATTTTATGATTTCTCTCCGTTTTGCTTCTGTTAATTAATTCTCTTAAAGAAGATAATTTTAATGTAGATCAGTATGGGAAGTACCTGTATTGAGTCCAGTCGTGGTTGTCTCAGCCCAGTACGGCATCATCAACCCAACAAATAGAGACATTCCAATAATAGCAAGGTTCCTGGTAGAGGACAAGTCCACCGGTTGTAGATTTGACAGTGCCACGCCCACCAATAGACCATCCAGCACGACCATTATCCCACCCACTACTGGGTACGGAACGGTCACAAAAACTGCTCCGATCTTGGGGAGAACGGAAAATACGATGAACAGAACGCCAGCAACCTGCATAACACGACGACTAGCAACCTGGAAAGAATAGAATGTGATTCAGTTAGGTCAAAACACAGTTTTATTTAATTGATTTTATATCTAAAAATACATTCTTCACCCTTGGTAACTCCTCATTGAAATTAATTACTTCTGTAACAAAAAAGTTAAACTCAGTTTGGATTGGATATCGTCTTTCACATTTATTAAATAAACGGAAATATTGGGTACATTGTTTGATCCCAGGTTCTTCTCCATCGCATTTCAGTCAGATCTTACTTTCGCTACCGACAAACAAAGATCTGAGGACATCCCACTACGGGTTACGACAGAACGACCTTTCATCCGACCAATCAGATCGCTGATCAGATCGGGAAAGTGTCAGTCGGAATTATGCAAAAGTATTCCGAACGGCTTCAAATGTATAAATATTTGAAATGGAAGAGACTTTCCATAGCCCCTTGGAAGTACTGCCATACAATCTCGGTCTTTGTTTCAAAACGTAATCTGGAATGGAAGTCGCCATTTGGAAACTGGTGCCGGAGATGTCGTTCTGAGGTTTCCTGAAATGGGGTTTCCCCAGCTTTTTGTGAAGCGGTAGGGAGTGAGTGAGTGAGTGAGTTGGGTTTAACGCCGCTTTTACCAGCATTTCAGTTATATCACGGCGTGTCAGCTTGGTAGGAAAGCCCGAAGTTTACCACTTCGGTGAAACCCACGAGCACGGATATGGTGCTGACAAACCTAACAACATAATCGGGGCTTTTTGTGAAGCGGTAGGGAAGACTGAGATCTGATTTTGAGACAAAAAAGGTGTAAATTGATAGCTTTCATTTTAAAAATCGTGTAGAATAATGTTTTTTTCACGCCTGTTTTTTACGATGTGAATGTAGTATTGCTTGGTCCTTCATGCCATGTTACACATGTCTGGTAGTGTCAATCAATGTCACTAGTTTTTGCAAAGAAAATGAAGACGTGTTTATGATTAAACATAAATTATACATTCCCAGTAACAATAAGAACTTACTTTGGTCAAGCCAATAGTACCAATATTGCCTCCAAATGATGAAGTAGCATGACCGATGCCCAGTGCACCCGTGATGATGCTCATGACACCCTCTACAGCCACGCCCCTGTTGACTGCGTGCGCTGGAGGCGGAGGCACGTGACAAATACGTGCGCATGCGCTGTAGTCAGCAATCGAGTCAATGATTGACAAGAGAGAAGACACTAAGAAGCTGCTAAACACACCAGCGTTGAATGTGAACATGCCGAACTGACCTGTCATGAGATTTGTAAAGTAACAATAATGAATACCTTCTGTGACATCATGTTATATGGTATGACACATGTTAACAGAACAATGTATTTAATAAATAAATATTTACATATGTTTTCTAACTTATTAAACATTTGACCTTTTTAGTGACTATTTCTTGACAAATGACTCTCGTCTTTTTACAGGCGGCAAACAAATCATGCATAAACAACCACTGGACATCGTTGGTGTTTGTTATTGATGGATGCTCTATCAGGGACACTTGGACGTTGCAGTGACGTTTATTTGTCATAAAGATGGCATTGGAGAGGACTTTATCGACAGAAGGTAGTTTAGGTTGATGCTTGACCAGTGTATACAGGATCCGAGTTAAGACTGGTCTTCAGCAACCAATGCTTGTCGTTATGGGCAGCTCACTGGTTGATATATGTCATTGCATTCCAATCACTGGATTGTCTGGTCCAGACTCGAATATTTACTGACCGCCCAATAGTTGCAATAATGCGTACGGCGTTAAATTAAGTAATTAAGTAAATTGTAGAGATATCGCAAATTAATTTTATATACTGAACAAAAAATGTTAGGGAGCCTGAATATATTTGGTGATATTTTTTTATAGTGAAGACACATTTTCATAAAAATATCCAAAAGAATATTCGTGATCCCTAACATTTTTGTTCATTATATATCCTTCATAGATTCTAAGGTGAGTTGAGGTGAGGTGAAATGGGGTTTAACGTCGCGTCCAAGATTATTGCACTTACATAGCGACGTGCATGTACGTGTGTGTGTTTGTGTGGCTGCTTGTACTAGTCCGGACTGATGCCGATTTATAGTGCTAGCTCACTGAGATACCATGCCGCAGTTTAAAAAGAATACCCCTCTCAGACACAGTAAACTGACTCCGAGCCGACCAGTCCTTGTTTTAGCCCCTTAATGCCGAGCGCCAGACAGGATAACAACAAGTACCATCTTTTAACCTATTTTGGTATGACGCGGCCAGGGATCGAACCCCGGACCTTCCGCTCTCCGGGCGGACGCTCTACCACTAGACTACGGAGGCGGTCATCACTGAACGTTTTCGACTTTTGATCAATCTATAAAAAAAATGAAGATGGCCGACAAGTTTCCTAAATATGAGTTCAGACTGTGGAATCTTTTAACTCTAAAACAGTGTGATAGGAATTATATGCATAATTATTACTTGGCACACTAACTCACTGAAGTATAGTTTACACTTTTAGATAAGAAACTCCTTCACTATTGCCCCCTAGTGGCCAAAAGTTCCAAGATGACCGCCAAGAGATTGCTGGATAGACATGAAATATCAATACACTGTTGGTCTCTGATGACATATTTGAGTAATTTGAACTTCTGCATTGGGGTAAACAGACCCCAGGATGCATGTAGAATACTCAATCATTTGCATAAATCCAAAATAACCACCAAATATTAATATTTATATCGTAAATTGCATGTTTTGGCGAGTTTGAATATTAATGTTGATTGTTATTGCCTGTATTTACTCAATACCATGACAATATACACGAATAAACACTAATAAAACACTTGTTTTCATTCATATAAATACCAGTTGGAAAAATCTATGTCAAAATGAGGTCCTTTCAGAATTAATCCAAACCAGCTGTTTCACAAGTTGTCGATGAGCTGCCTCCCTTGTATTCATTTGCGGAAATCCAATATACCGATCAAATACCAAATTTGATTGTTCGTTTATTTGTTGTTTAAAGCCGCACTATTCCAGCTATATGACGGCGCTCTGTAAGTAATAGAGTCTGAACCAGAAAATCTAGTGACTGACATCATGAACATCGATCCACGCAACTGGCATACAATGACATGCACCAACCAATTTGGCGAGCTTGGCCACCCGATCCCGTAAGTCGCCGTTAACGACAACCACGGGTTTGTGAATAATTTCTATACCCGAGATCTTCACGGGCATTTAAAAATAAATCTGAAAAAGCTCATTCAATTACATGATGATGTGATTCATGATCATTATGAGTACGTGATGAACAGCGGAAAAATTGTCAATGTTGTGGCTTGAGGTAGCAGGCTCATTATGTAGATGTATCACGAAAGCCTCAACAGGTTTGTCATCCTCTGAGGAGTCTGGTAACTGTTTATTGGTACAGCTTGTACCATGACATTCCCCGCACACAGCACTGCAAGTGAGACCATATTTCCGGCAAGTGGATCTTCGTGTGTCACAGTCGTTTTTGAAATTACAGCAGATGATGTCCTGGAGTGCTGCAGGCTGATCTGAATGTATTGGTACGCAACATCCATCTATCATGCGCCATCCCCACTCCAATGGATCCACACTGAACCCGTTCCACTCCATTATCTGGTAGTAGACACGGGGTCTGTGGTATCTTGCGGCTGCAGAGGATGATAGCTCTACGTGTGATAGGATCTTCAGCACCTTCCCCCAAAATCGCTTGTTTCATAAGCTGTCCAGTCCTTTGGTGACTTTTTCATCCCCAGTTTCTTCTGTTTGGCTGAAACTTTTAGCCTGATCACAGAACAAGGCATTATTCTTCAATCGTTGACCCTTTCCCAAGGCAAACAGTCGAGGAGTGGTGTCACAGCTAAGAATTGTATGTAAAAAGAGCACATGCTCACATACATCACTGCCCAGCAGCAACGTTGATTGCTTCATGCACCAAAACGTGTTCCATCTTGAAGCTGGCTTGGGTTCTGGTGCCAGGAACAAGTCAAGTGCTTCCATTTCAACACGATGAAGGAGGGTGAGCAAGTCTGTGTCATCTACCACCAGGACAGTGTGACAGCGTCTTGTTTTGCATTTACTGTGTTGCACCAGGCTCTCTCCAGTTTGTCACCCAGACAGGCAATAAAGCTCTGTTTGTGTTTTTCTTTGTTCCAGAGATCTTTCTTCTACGATTGAATAACCATTTCCCCCTTGAAATAATCTTTCTCGCCAGAACAGGCCCCAGTGTTGCATCTTTCGTTGATGGATCATCATTGTGGCCATTCAAGACAATGTTAGCATATCTATGTACAACATATAGATGGTATTTAGTTAACATAGGTGATATAGCGTAGAACATCTTGGTGAGGGTAGCCGGTGAAGTAGAGTACTACCATCAAGAATGTTGTGGACATTTCAAGGTTCTCGTTCTTTCACTTGGATGGTGTTCCAGATAACATCAGCAAGGGTTGCCTTACTGACCTGCAGTGCTAGGGAGGAGGATTCAAACAATGCTGGTGGGTGACTACAGAGCTACATGAACAATCGATCTTGTACTATGCAGGTGTGACAGTTTAGTTCATTGGGGAAATGGTCATTCGATCGAAGAAGGAAGCATTCTTGAACAACGCATAAAACAAACATCACTTAATTGCCCATCTGGGTGACAAACTGGATAGACCTGGGTGCAGTTCTGTACATGCAAAACAGGCGAACATTATTTATGTGGCGGATGTAAGGAGGAAGGACTGGACAGGTACACGTGATTTTGTTAGGTCAGGAAGAACCTGCCACATGCAGAGCCAAAACTCTGTAGCCACAAGGTACCACAGCCCCCGTGTCTACTACCAGATACTGGAGTGGAAAAGGTTCAGTATGAATCCATTGGATTAAGGATGGCACCAATACAGACGGATCACCCTGCAGTACCTTCAGCACTCTCGAACATCATCTGTTGTAATTACAAATGAGACTGTAAAACAAGAAGTAGCACTTGCCAGAAATATGGTCTCATTTAAGTGTTGTGTGCAGCGAATGCCATGGTACAAGCTGGTGATGACAAACCTGTCGAGACTTTCGAGGTATAGTGACCCTGCAACATCTAGCTACAGCATTCACAGTTGCAACTTTGCTACTATTCTTAAGGTAATAATGTTCATAAATCACACAATCGTGTAACTGAATGACCAGTGGATCAAACATTTTCATATTTATATTCAAATATTGGTATTTAGTGGCTATATTTGACTTCTACAAATGAACTACAAGGAAATAACTCACCAACTACTTAAGAAACAACGGGGTTTTCGGTAAATTCTGGGTCCTCCTCATGTGGACATACTTGTTTCCAACATGAATGAAAACAAAACTTGTTACAGTGTTTATTGTCATGGTTGGTAAATAAGTAGATACAGACAATAACAATCAATAAAACCAAAACATATATCATTTACGAGATACATATTTATATCTGGTGGTTATTTTGGATTTATTCAAATGATTGTGTATTCTTCATGCATCCTCGGGTCTGTTTACCCCAATGTAGAAATATGTCATCAGAGACCAAAAGTGTATTGATATTTCATGTCTATTCAGCAATCTCTTGGCGGTCATCTTGGACTTTTTGGCCACTAGGGGACAATGGTGACGGAGTTTCACTAGCTTCAGTGAGTTAGTGTGCCAAGTAATAATTATGCATATTAGTCCTATCACATTGTTTCAGAGTTGATTTTTTGTAGATTTATCAAAAGTCGAAAACGTTCAGTAATTGTGAATATCTGTTAAGAAACACAATATGGCTATTTCGCAATACAACATCAAAAGAATGAACAGTGCCACCTATGATACTTTTTCATTTTTAACTTTCAGTACTGCATAATGTTGGTTACACAAAGCTTTGAACATATTAATTATACAACTAAAAAAATCGAATGAGAGCTAAACATGCTGCTGGTGGTATTGCTACTACTTGAAACAAACGAGGACTAACATGGCGCTGGTCGTTTTGCTACCACTAGAAACCCACTTGGACTGACATGGCGCTGGTCGTTTTGTTACGTCTTGAAACCAACGAGGAATGACATGGCGCTGGTCGTTTTGTTACGTCTTGAAACCAACGAGGACTAACATGGCGCTGGTCGTTTTGTTACGTCTTGAAACCAACGAGGACTAACATGGCGCTGGTCGTTTTGTTACGTCTTGAAACCAACGAGGAATGACATGGCGCTGGTCGTTTTGTTACGTCTTGAAACCAACGAGGACTAACAT